AGAGAGAGGGGGGGGGGGGGAAAGAGTGGTAGGGAGGGATGAGTAAGGGGGCAGTGCCACCCTTTTTTTCTATTAACAGTACTCTGGCCAGTACTGTACAGGTTCCCATCCACCCGAGTGGGTACAGAGGAACTCGCCTTTGGCCGGCCAATTCCGATTGGACTCGGCAGAGTTTTTCAACAATCGCTCTAGGAGGAAAGCATCCCATAATGGCATAATCCAATGGAGTATGACATACAGCACTCTAAACCATGGGACAATCATCATCCTGTCCTGATAACAAATGGATGAGACTAACCACAGTGAGACCTAATGCAATGATCTCCACCAAGCAATTGATCTCCACCAAAGGCCATGGGGGACAAATGGTGGATACAACTTTGGACCTACCATATACGATAATCCATTGGACATGTAAGAATTTCCAACCAAAAAATGATTTTTAACTTATTTACCTTACAATCATCAGTTCTATACCAATTCCCACGTGCATCCTTCGTGTAGCAAATGTAATGCCCAAAGAAAGAAGCATTGAGCATGTCAATGTGAACCACCACGGCATAAAGATGATATATATCTCTACCGCAATTGTCCCTGCTCATGTATGGCCCCAGGTCAAGAATTTCTGGGAAAGTTACTCTCTTGTTCAGTTTGCCATAGCTCCCACCCTGAAACAACAGAGGCAGACTAAGGATAAGCATACACCAGCGAGCTACATTGAGATTCAATCTCCCAGCCAAAAGCTACAAGACCGGTTCATAGATCAATAATAATTAAAGTATACTCCATTATCAAAGTATGTTACTTGATGAGAAAAAGACACTTGAGTCTGAGTGCCTGCAACCTGGAATCTCTTCAAAGCAATTGTGAGGATATTTGGTGGCTGATGGATGGTAAGGCGCTTTGATGCATTGACATAAGCATTACACCTGCATAGAGACCGGGAGTTTGTCAAAATAGTAACTAGGTATCGAAAAAGAAATTGCACAAGTCATCATCATCAGAGCCTTTTCTCAACTATTTGGGGTCGGCTACATGAATCCCGATCCGCCATTCTATTAAGAAACTGCAAAAATGAAGAGATATTTACTATGACCCATGTGGCCATTAGAACAACATGACCACCATGTGGATTATCACCGTCCAATGGAATGGGTACAATTCACAAAATGAACTTTACAGTTGGATCCAGTCTCCTCCATGACAATCATTGAATCCACTCATTGACAAAAATGGTGATAATAATAGGGAAAGATATATTGGAACAATCAGAGACTCTGAGTAAGATATCAAGTCATACGGAGCCCACAAGAAGAACAAGATTTTAAAGTCCAAGATAATGGATCAAATTATCTTTTCCTTTTCTTTTCTTTGTCGATAAGCAAAGTACACAATCGCTAATAAACTTCAACAGGTGTTTCAGATTCAAGCCAAGTTTTTGGAGAACACAAACACACACACACACACATATATATATATTAAAGTAGTTGGCTTTATTAATACAATGTAAAGTTTGTTTACAAAATCCCAATATGGTGACACACAAGCCAGGCAATCAAATTCACAAGGAGGTTCTGAAGTGCAAGGTAAAGAATAACCAAAAAAAGGCTGTCTATATCAACAACCTAAAAGCTTTAAACCACAGTTACCCAAAGCGATTTGGAAACCAAATCGATTTAGGAATTGGAAGAGTGGAAATCACCGATGGCTGGAAAAGATTCCTGCTTTCAGGATCAACGTCCATACAGGAGGAATCGTGGGGGACAAGATTCCTAGTTTTAGGAATCAAGATTCAACCAAAATAAAATTGAGATCCCTACATAGATGGAATCAAGATTCCTAGCTCTTGGGAATCGAGTTTCCGACCTCATTGGAATCGACCAATATTGAATTGAGATTCCTTCATTTATAAAATTGATATTCCAACATCTTTAGAATTGAAAGGGAACTGAGAGGGAAACCATACATGTCTCAAAGCCATTCATTGACCGAAATGCCATACAAGCACGTTTACATTATTTGTATTACATTACTTCTAATATCTTGGAGTTGCAATCTCTCCATTAGATCAATAAAATCCATACTCAAAGAACTAAGTAGAGGACATGGACCACCACTTTGGTTTATATTGGTCATTTCATACCAAAAAAGATGATTACACTTTGTAGCACTTTGTAGCTTGAGATTGAGCGTCTAGCTCGAGTAGTTTGATCCCTTGAAACTTCTAAACATCACTTCTTAGAAAAAAGCAAAAAGACAAAAAAAAGTGTGGAAGTGGTAGAATTCTGTAAATGTAGAAACCAGTTTCAACAAGTGTAAAATCGAGTGGAATCGAGAATCAGTAAATATTAGAAACGAGATTCTATAAGTGTTGGAAAGGTGGTAGAAAGATAGGAAGTGGTGGAGAGGAATAGAAAGCTGTCACTCCAATTCTGGTACTGTTTTAGATATCGAGTCGTATTTCTTTTCAAATGAATGTCCAGTGTGGTGAATAAACGACTGTCAGAGGCTCAAACGAATCAATACCTCTATAAAAGCTGCAATTTTTTTTTTTTAAAATCATTCGCCAGCCACTGCCAATGGAGATTGTTTTGAGATTCGAGAGGTAGAGTTCTGTCATGTCAGTTTCCTAGGAGAGGTCTTAGTGATTCCAAGGTCGACGATTGCTGTCTTATTGGACGTCTCAGATATGTTTCCATTTCATAAGGTAGAGTTCACAGAAAGGGGTAACACTTAACAATGTAGATTCTTCATTAGGTCTCTCACTAGTAGTTGCAGGGTGGCTAAATTCATCATCCTGTCCACCCATGGGACTTGAAGTCCTCTAGCCTGCCAAAAGCTTAAGCTTTTGGGTGATTATGTGCCCCAAGCAAGACACTAAGTTGATCATCATCAATGCTGTAGCATTCAATTTGCAAACTTTTGCATCTTCTATTGTTAGGCATACGAGATGGAGGAGCATCTCCTTATTTATTTTTCATACAGCTGAGAGCGACAAATTTGTTGGGCACATTCTGGTATGTATGATACAGACACATGTCCAACACATCAAATGCACCATGAAACGTGGGACTTGTCAACATGTTCTAAAGAACATTCATGCCCGGCATGCGATTCTTGGCGTACCATTAGACATGTGCGTTGATGACTCTGGCTACACATATCCATAACTCTGGACATGCATGTTTGCAAATACTGGACACGTCTATGAGTTGAACAATAATGTCTGCCATTCATCTTGGTCCATTTGTTGCTTTCGAGGGGTCTCCACTGGATGATCGCACCCTCTGTCACTTCTGTTTAGCAGTCAAACCTATTTAATGGATACCTGATAAGGCCACATTCTCTTGCAATATGCCATTGGTCAATCTTTGGGGTATTTGCCTGGAAAGGAACAAGTGGATTTTCAGAGACATGTGTCATTCTCCTTTTTTCTGTATGAGAGAGGATCCGTGAAATGTTGATCTCCTGGCTCTGGATCATGTTGAGCTCAGGGGACCTTTGAGAATCAGATATTTATCATGACTAGCTCATTTTGGTGCTTAGCAAGGAGACTGGACTTTACCTCAATGGAAGCCCACTAGAAAATCCAGAGCCATAGGAGCACATCGCAACTGATTGCCTAGGCTATGGCTGGGTGATTGTCTATCGCCCTTAATTCAAAATGGGGCAATGAAAGGTTGCGTTCACTCCCCTAATGTACTTGAATAGGCGACCTATGACATCAAAGTGATGATATAACTGTAATACTGTGTGCCATGTCTGTAGGATAACTTCAATGGCCTTTGTAGGAAAATGTTTCAAACACTCAAAAAGGAAAAAGCTACGATATGGCAAAATCCTACACACGCATTTCGTCTCGTAAGTTACGCATGTATCAAAATATTCAATGCACAACCAAAATTGCTACCAGCAATATCACCATGTTTGGCAGAATATAATCTGATTTCCCAGATAAAAAGAACGTAGCAGTTGATGGCAGTACACAGCATTTACCAAAGTCACCAGTGAAACTTCAAGATATTCTAGGCAAGTCATGAATAATAGTGTAGCTTTACCAACTTCCACTATCTGTATCAATATCAATATCAATTAGCAGAGGCGGTGTCTTATTACTTAATGGCACTCGGGAATCTCATTTTATCCATTTGGAATCAATATTCATTCCACGAGTACACCCAGCTATTTTAATGAGAATTCCCATATCAACCTAATACAAACCGGAATGACCACTTTTAAGTTCGATTTTGTTCAAGAATATTTTTTCATGTAATATGGTACATCTGAAAGTCAAACTCAAAGAAAGGCATGCAATAAAATAATGGCATAATTTCCAATCCCCAAATATCTAAGCATACATACCCGTCACACTTGTACTTATTTTCTCCATCAAGATCTTCACTTTTTGTAAACTGTTGAAGGCATTCCTCAAGAGATCCAGCATTTCCTTGAATTTCAACAGTCAAATCCATCATATTCTCATAACGATTTGATATCTGAGAGCATTCTGAGCATTTCACCTGCACATAAGATGTGTAAAAACAACAGCAAAAGGGAGAAAACAACAGCAAAAGGGAGGCACAAATTTCACGAAGAAACATATTAAGATCTGTTCTGTACTCAAGAGTTTAAAATGCATTCAGTGTCCAATTGAGCCTTCAAATCCTTAAATGTGTTGAAAGTGCAATATTGTTTAGCAATACAATAGGGAAACATTATTTAATAGGGCATAGTTGGATTTCATCATTTAAATAAGAGCTTGTTTTGTAATATTTTCCAGGTCAATAATATATGCGTATGGTTAGTATAACACATTAGACTAAACAACACGTTTTGCCCTATATGCATCTCACAGTCTTCTTCCTCTTCTCTTCATCTTTGTACTGATTTTATACTGAATATATTCAGGTGGGCTGGCCATATGTGGCACAGACCCACTACAACACTTGTTAGGAGGGACAAGTTAGTTCAAATGGAAGGCTCAAAAAAGGCAAGGGGTAGGCCCAAAAGGATGTGATAGGAAGTAGTCCGAAAAGATATGGAGACTTATGACCGCACTGAGGGTATGACCCTTAATAGAGCAGAATGATGGACTAGATTTTGTGTAGCCGACCCCAATTAATTGGGAAAAGGCTATCATGATGATGATGATATTTAGATCTAGATCGTTTTTAACTTGGTATCATTGCAAGGTCCAAATCTGAAGGAAGAATTTTGAAAGTCGATTGGTGAGATTTTGGATGTACTATTGATGTCAGCAGTTGTATGGACAGACAGCCTGACAATGCAAGGTGACGAGTACACAAATGGATCCCTTTTTTTGAGAATAATGGTTAACTTTTCCTATTTTTCGAGAATGTTATGGTTCTTTCTTTTTTAACAAAAATAGACAATCATGGGAAAAATGTCAATTTTAGGGTTTTCCCTTGATTCGCCGGTTGGATGACCTAATGACCAATCAAGTTACACAAACTTGGTTGTTAAGTTATTTGATGTTTATCAAGTAGTGAATCTTGCAACCAAAACTGTCTAATCAATGGTTCTCTTTTCCGCACCTATATTCTGTGTTCACAGAGGGGTATCCTAAGAGAGATCTTTATTGTCTTGGAAAACTATGCACATCACAAAAGCACAAAAAACATGTGTATGGAGTACTCCGGCCTTCAAATCGCAACTATTAAATATGATGGCAAACTAACTATAGTGGGCCAGTTCTGTAAGTTTGTTACTTGGTGGAAAGAAAAGAACTCAGTTACATTGATTGTCGTTATAGAGACATCAAATGTCAAGGATCCATTTTGTGCAGATTGGAAGCTGGTGATATGATTATTATGAGCTGGCTTTTGAGTTCTATGCAGTCAATGTGTCACAACATTCGTGAATAATAACAATTTAAAAGAATTAAGGGATGAAGTGACTGAAGCCTATTCACAGAAGAAGAATATCGAAAAAACCTATGAGTTGAAGCAGTAAATAAGCAACTTCAAACAAAAACTTTGACCAGTTGACGATTATTATGCCAGTTTACGAGGTATTTGGGATGAACTGAAAACACTATCAGTCCATAAGTTGTTTTCACTGTGCAAAAGAGCAAAGAGAAAGGTTGGAACAAAATAACTTATTTTTTGACCTTCTAGGGGAACTTAATAAAAAATATGTAACTATTAGATCTAATGTTATGGGTGGTCAATCTCTACAATTTCTTGGAATAGTGTTCTCTCTTCTTTGGTGTGAAGAAACTCGTTGGAAAATTATGACTGTAACTATTTGTGTATCTGAAAGATCTGCTGTTTGTTTCCAACAATTTCAATATTATAGTGGAGGTCACAGTGGTGGTCATAGAAGCTTCACTCGTGATGAAAAAGATAAATTAAAATGTAGCAATTGTGGAAAATCTCGACATACCAATGAGATGTGCTGGGATCTCATTGGACCCTCTTAGCACAATTCATTTTGTGCTTATACAACAAGGACTAGTGAGGAGGCTAGTCAGGCTATGTTGACAGCAGGATGCAACCAGTCACTTACTTCGCAACCACACATCTTTTATACCTAAGGATCACCATCATCATTAAAGCCTTTTCTCAACTAATTGGGGTCGTCTACATGAATCATAGTCGACCATTCTGCACTATTAAGTTCCATGCCCTCAGTGAGACCATAAGTCCTCATATCTGTTCTCACTGTCCTTTTGGGCCTTCCCCTTGCCTTTTTTTAGCCTTCCACTTGAACTAACTCACACCTCCTAACAGGTGTTGTACTAGGTCTGCGCCACACATGGCCAGCCCACCTAAGTTTATTTTCTCTCATCTTATCACCTATTGGTGCCACACCTAAATTCTCCTAAAACCGTGAGATGTAGATATAGCCACAATTCAAGAAGCGGATAGCCTGCCTGAACGATTACCCCTTACCCTACTAGCCAAGATAGCTGTATAAGTCGTGGTCACCTGATGACCATGCTGATTGCAAGAACCAGAATTATAAGAGTGAATAGCCTAGCCTCTCCAACACAGTCGAGTGGTCGTCCCTCCCCTTGGTGAACAGGTAGTCGAGATGCCTCTATTTGGGCAAGAGCTAAACCGTGCCTTTATCTCAGACAGGGGTACAGTAGTAGAAAGAAATGACCGGTAAGCAGTTGACCCATGAGTTCATTCACGTGTGGGAGGGTTTCCTTAAAAGAAAAAGAGGATACTTGGGAGGCGGGTGAGGACTGCCAGACGATGCTAACCCGTTGAAATACGTGGCGTGCAACTGTTGGGGGTCAGGGTGAGCCTTAAGGGAATGTTTTTGAGAGAAAGATTCAGAAGTATATCGCAGCCGGATGACTACACTCATTTTATGGGTATGTTGTTTTTTGACTTCCCAACATTCCGCCCCATAAAATAAAGCTGGTCTCATAGTTGTCATATAGAACTTGCCCTTCAGCTTCATTGATATGTGACGATCACATAAAACTCCGGTTACACATCTCCACTTTGCCCACCCAACTTTAATTCTATGTGTTACATCTTCCTCAATGTCTCCATTTTTTTGGATTAGTTATTCAAGATATCGAAAGTGTGCTCTTTTTTCTTGGCCGTCAATCTTAATTACTTCCCTTGTCTCTACTTTTATTATTATTAAACATGCATTCTATATACTTTGTCTTTGTCTTGCTAATTTTAAAACCTTTAGATTATAGAACATTCCTCCAAAGTTCTAACTTTGTGTTGAGGTTATTTCATGTCTCATCGATCTTATATCTAAGGATGAGTTCATGAATTGTTTCCAAAGAGATCCTCTTGACCTTTAAGCAGTGTGCCTTTTCACTTGTAACAAAACTTCGTATTCCTCTTCTAAGTCACATCTTGCCTAATCAGTTATATCCACATCTGCTTACCATGACTCCATCTCAAATTCCTAGGAACATTAATTCAATAGCTATTGAACATATGCTTCGTATGTCTAATCTCTTATCTACTTATGTTGTTTACAAAAGAAGTCTATTAAAATTGCCTATGGATCTCATGTGCCAATTAAATGAAAAACGATCGTATCAATAACTTCTACTAATTTGTTATCTCGATTTATGCCCCCCCCCCTCTCTCCCGATTTGCACCCAATCCTAAGAACTATGTTTTCAGCAAGCTTCTATGCATTCTAGGATCCTCAAGAACCCCTGGCTCGTGGAACTTGGAATCCAAATACCAGGAACCCACCCAAGGTTGTACATATAATTAACTAAATGCAAAACAAGTAAATATAAAGACAAAAGAATAGTGTAAGAAATAACATAAACAAAAAAACAAACCATAATGATGCAGAGACTTACGTGGTTCACCAGGAACGGCTACATCCACGGCTTCGGCAAGTAAAAATCAATTGTTTCAACAAAGATTAAAGTTTTGGGTTAGAAAATAAATACCTACATCTAAACATTGGCAAAACCCTCGCGATCTTTCCTCGTTCTACCGAATAATAACATTAATCAACCTCATCGTTCCCATAGCTACACTGGCCGGGTAGCTTGGCTTGGCCCTCGCCCAATTGGCCGGACCCTAAAGAATTAGGGCTTGGGCCACAACATGTGGCCCGAGAACCAGGCCGTTCTTCCTTGTTTTTAATTCTTTTTTTCTTTGACTATATTAGGCCTGCCCGGCTAGAGCCAAGGCATGGGTCTCATTGGCTAGGTCCAGGCTGGATCAAACCGAGCTTGGCCAGCCCTGTAGGGACTAGGATTGGGCTAGGACCAAGGCAGGCCCGGCCTGTTGCCAGCCCTAGCTACAAGGAAGAGTACCTTAGAGCAACTAGGAGACAATTTCTCTCTAGAAGTGAAAATCAAACCAATCCCAAACCCCATAAGCCCTTCTCTCTAGAACATCATGTCTCTCTCTCTCTCTCTCTCTTTTGGACTCATCCCTCTTAGAGATCCCTTCACATGACCCCCTTACATAGAGATCACTAGGGTTTCGTTCTTGCTCCCCAAGAAAGCTCATTTTTCCCCAAAGACATGTGATGCCCTTTACATTTTTGGAAAAATATAGCAAGGCAGTGTTTCAAAAAGTGCTAGGCGGCACCTAGGCGGTCAGGGGGTCCAGGGCGCTCAGTGCCTAGGCGGGCGCCCAGAACCTGGGCGACCCAGTAGATTTTTGTTTTTTGGGTTTCTCTTTCTAAAATAGGCTCTAATGGGTTTTAGGTTTCAAATGAACCTAAAACCCATTTGAACCTTTAGTATTAAAAAATAACCCAAAAATACCCTCAATGAGGGGCATTTCCGCCCTTGGGTGGGGCGAAAACCCTGGGCCGCCACCCTGGCGGATTCAAGCGGGCACCCAGGGATATCCGTTTTTTTTTAGCGTTTAGGCCTAGGCGATGGGCCCAAGCCCCCAGAACCACCTATGCGGCCGCCCAGGTGCTGGGCGGTCCGCTTTTTTGAACCACTGTAGAGAGGTGATTTTAACTATCACCAAACCAACAATCTCCACCTTGATAGCAAAATCATCATACTCGTCTTGACCACCTCCATTGGATAGATTTCTTGATTTCTTCCTCTTGCCTCTCTTATGGAATTTTTACAAACAGTTTACTTATGTATTTCTCCACTTCAAACCATGTAACAATCTAACTTCACCATGTACTCTTCACCAAAAATATAAATATTAGCCCCATACACACCTTGTGCTATGACATCAATTGTAGGGTCCTCGAGGGCCCCTTGCTCATGGAACTTGGACCCCAAATGCTGCGATCCCACCCAAGGTCTTACATACAGTTGGCTAAATGCCAAATAGGTAAATACAAAGACAAAAGAATAGTGCAAGAAATAAAGCCAAAAAAAAATCACAATGACACAGATTTGTGGTTCACCCCAAAAGGGCTACACCGAACGCATGGGTGAGTAGAAATCCACTATTTCGATATAGATTACAGTTTGGTTACAAGAGATATACCTCTCCCATCAGCAAAACCTTAAACAAGCTCTTCCAACTGAACAATACCGGCTCAACCTCGTCTTTTCCACTGCTACACTAATGTTGAAAAGAGAACCTTAAGGGCAACTGAAAGACTCTTTTTAGAAGTGGAAATTGAACCAACCTAAAATCCCATGGGAGTTGCCCCTCTCCCTAGGAGGCCATGTCTCTTTCGCTCTCGCTTTGAGACCCATTTATCTTTTGGATATCCCTTCCAACGACCCCAAAAGGATGACCCACAAGAGATGAGTATTATGTCTTCCTTGATATAGTTATTACTACGGTTTTTTCTTGCTCCCATGTTTACCTTTTAACCACATACAATAATACCCTTAACCTTTCTTGAAAAACATCGAAGTGGTGATTTTCACTATCACCAAACCTAACATTGGTCAGCTATATTATAAAAACTTTGAATACCTGAAAGTCATATATTACACACCTAAAGTACCAAAAAGAACTGAAAAATCTCTCCTCCAAACTGTGAAGTTACTTTTTGTTTTGTTTTTGGTTAGTTGTATGCTATTTATGCTAATATTAGTTATGTGCTACTTGTGCCCTAAACCACCCCATGCTAATATTCAAAAGTCATATATCATACAATTAAAGTACCAAAACAACTGCATTCAGAGTTCTAAATTGTGAGGCTACTTCCTTTTTTCTATTTGTGTGCTAGCAGATCCATGTATAATTTTCATTTAGGGATATGTTATGTCAACAACTAGAAAGGAATTTCAAAAAAAAAATATAAAATCATTTTAAATTGTTTTGGAATTTTTTATCGAGAAAGATCTAAGTTTTTTTAATTAATGTCCCCAAATTAACTAAATGAATATTTAAATACACTAAGTTTTCGACAAGATCCAAGAACAAAGGTTTAGATCTCTTACAATATTTTTATTGCTAAAAAAGAATCAGTAAAATAAATTTTAAACTCATTGTACCATAATTTTGGGATTTTTAGATCCAGGAAGATTTGACAATTATGAATCAATATTATCTTAGAGAATCTTAAATCAAGAAGACCCAACCATAAAGGTTTGGCTCTCCTACAATATTTTCCTAGACTTATGCCAAAGTAGATTCTAAATATATTAGTCAAGGTGTTTTTTTTTTCTTAGATAGAAAAAATCAACTTAAAAATTTATGAAAATGATTCTAAATCTTTGGTGAATGATTCCAAATTCAAATGTAAACAAATATTTTACTCTTGCAAGGTAAGACATCACATAGTGCAAACTTGCATCACATATGAAAGATAACCAAAAAAATCAAAATGTATCCCAAAATATGCCTAGTGCATCCCAAAACTAAGCAAATATTAAATTTGAAATACTTTTACATATTTTCATTCTATGGATTTTGGATCTATAATTCTAATTTTTTAAAAAAGAAGCATCTAGTGTGATGCAGAAAAAACTTGTTAAATTGGCTTGGCTTATTGCCAGACAAATTCCTAAGTTTGAGCCCAGATACACCTGTAAAGGATTTATCCCAGAAGAGTCACAACAATAAATAATCAGAAATGCAAGCATGAAAAGAAAGGAAAATATACTTAAGCCCAAGAGAACAGAAATCCAGAGTTTGATCAATGGTTTTGAGCAATTTCTTAATGAAGGAGGAGGGAAGGTGTGGAGCCACTAACAGCAGTATAGACGAGGTACTCAAGACACTAATGCCATTGCAGCAAGCTTATGGGGTGCCCAATGGGAAGGCATCTTCTCCTTAACATATTACATCTTCTACAAATGTTTATAACTGACTAAAAAAGGAATAAATAAGAAAATAAAAAAGATTTAAGGTGAATAAACCTGAGAGCGAAGGTAGCCACCAAATATGTATTGGATAATAGTTGTATCAAGAGTGCTAGGATCCAAAGCCTTTTCTCCACCAAATTCATACAGACAAGCTGACTGCATTGTATCAATTGCAAACCTGAAAACAATCATATAAATTGAGGTTGTTGAGGATGTTTTTTTTCAAGATCTCAAATCAACATCATACTCCATGGTAAACAAGCCTGATGCACAATTTGAGGATATGCTGATGAAATTTAAGAAGGTGAAAGCACCTCATGAATTCATGAGCATCTTCCTGTTTCCCATTGCAAAGATTGCCACCAATATTTGGTATGTGAGCCAAAATGTTGATCGGAGAGAAAGGGCGCTCATTCTGGCTCACTCTATAAAAGTGAAGGTGAAGTTCACATAAGAGACACCATCCACCATTGCGGCCTAAGGAATAAGAAAGACAACAATAAAAACATCAAAAAAACAAAATGGGTAACAGTGAAAGAAATCAAGCTTTCACCTCAGAGTTGCATGTCCTTACATTCACTCATGTGTTTTCTACCCGACAAGTAGGCAACAAGTGGTCGTGTGGATGAAAGACATTGTAGGACTACATTAGCGAAACAGCTGCACAGAAACAATTACAAATCATTTTTAAATCATGAAGCAACAAATAATATAGGAAGTTTGTATTCTGAATGGATAAAACACCAACCAAGTTGACAAAATTCCACAAATTTGAATGGTTACCTATTTCCACAATTTAGAAGTCCACAAGGTGGTAAACCTGGGTTATCCCAGTTGAAAAGATCTATGAATTCGTCATAGTGAAATAATACCTAAAAGGAAAAAGGGCCATAACTGAATGTGAATCATGTATTCAATGCGTAGATGAATGAAAAGTTTCCCTTGGTTAGCAAAAAAGATTACATTATATATTTTACCTTTCTCGGTTGGCAAAAAACCTTACTGGTTCCATGCTTAGGCATAAAATGAATATTATTTACTATCCCCATCTGACTTGAAGATTTCCTCTGATGATAATCATTCTTATTCGCAGAAACTTTTGAATCCTCAGGCCCTTTCACCTTGCAATTGGACTTATGACCAGCAGTCCAATCTCTTGTCTGGCAATCTATAGAGCTGAAAAACAACAATAGCAACTTTCAATCCTTCGAAATAATCATCAATTCAAACATATCTTCAAATAATTCATGTGTACAGCAAGTTCAATCATGGTATAAAATACAATGGAAACATATAATTGACAAGTAAAGACATTACAAAAAAAAGCTTAATATTAATGTCAAACCATCATAATCTGTACTTGTTCATTTTGCCCAACTGTTATTATTCTTTATGGGCAACAATACTGTCTTTCCCATGTCAATGTAAATAATAATCATTCATGTGATTATTGCTGAATATATATATATATATATATCTATATAAGCTTATGTTAGGGTGCTCACACTATGGAGTAATTTATCATTGTACTCAACAATTTTAGACACTTTTATACCCTTGTTTTGTACATTGAGCATTTTTTTAATAGGGGGTATTTTTGGTCATTAGGAAAGGTGTGACGTCACCCACATGGAGCATTAAATGCCACTAGTGTGCTCCAAGTGGATGATGTCACACCCCATGTGGATGACGTCAGACCCTCATAATGACCAAAAATACCCTTATTAAAAAAATGCTCCATGTACAAACAAAGGGTATAGAAGTGTCCGAAATTTGTTGAGTACAATGATAAATTACTCCGTAGTGTGAGCACCCCAACATAACCCATATATATATATATATAAGGTCGGGACCGCCTCTATAGCTGGAAGCATGAAAGTGTTAGTGAAATAAGCACTCGGAAAGGGCCTCAATGAGATTGAAGTTGACGTGGGACACCGCGATACCAAAGACTCCTAGTATGGAAATAGAAGTCAAAAAAGTCATGAGTACCTAGCCATAGAAAACCATTCACAAAACCATGATGGGATCAAAAAGTAGCCTAGCGAGCGATACAGGGCCTCTCCCCCAAGAAGACCATGCCAGATGTGGTAAGGCATGTTCTCAGGAAAGGGCCAAACACGAGAGAAGGATGGTGGGACAACTTCCTTACCCTTTTCTTTTATATGTCATAAACATTTCGTCTTTGCCTCTTTGGAGTTTTGTAGTTTTGGAAATTTTATATGAGATAGAATGCATTAAATGTTAATAGTGTTAACACATTTTTAAGTCTATTACTCTTTATCAGGCTATCAAGGAACTCAAAAGTCTCATACAACTAATCTATTATAGATATTCAATAAATTAAAATACCTACTATTACATAAATCACATTTATGTTTTTCTCTATGCATTACTGATGCAGGAAAGTAGAGAAAATAGGCGAAAACAATTCAACAAACCATCGAAACAGGCTAGATTTGAATGTACCTAGCTTTCCTTATACAAAACAGTAACCTCAAAACCCTAGATAAGGCTTGGTGTTACTGTTCACACCTGAAAAGTGTTAGAAACCTTAACATCTCAGGCTCTTTTATTAAGAAGACCAAAAACTACCCCTACTTAAGTTAAAACATTATATCAATACCCTGTAAGTCCCTTCAATCAAATTAAAACATAAAAGATCCCTAAACTGCCCCTAACTTTAATTAAAATACTTGAAATCCCTACCAGAATGTAAAAAACAACAACAAACTAAAAATAAACTCCTTCAAAAAGTGGCCTTCCCATCTCTTAGATCTCCTTGCAGCTTTGGGATGTGGATCCTCATAAAAGGGGTTGTCAAAGGATGGATTGATTGGGTAAAAAAGCTCATGAGAATCACCTTGACTAGTTAAAGGACTGTCTGGTGCATCATTCTTCCCTGGTTGGGAAAAACTCGACCTTGAGTCCAGCTCTTCTTCCATTGCCACTTTAGGTCCACTGCACTCAAAAAGATCGACAACATTGAACACATTCAAGGTCTCGTTGTACCTGGATAATCAATTTTATAGGCATTACTCCCCACCTTCTTCAACACCCGAAATGGTTCAATCTTCATGTTATAGATAAACCATCGCCTCCCACATTAACAAAACTTGAGATCAAGGCGTACCATGTTACTGCACCCCGATAGACATTAGATCAACCATGTTTTGGCCCAATGGGTACTACCATACTTGCAGTACCTAAGCACAACATACTTGTTCCAAAACACATCAAAGAATACCATCAACTATGAAGCGGCTCAAGATTAGTTTTCTGTTACCCCCGCGATTTCCTTTGGCTCGCACATAGTGATTAAATATAGAGGTTCTCCACTCAAAACAAAATAATGGCTGAAGCAGAACTCCAACATCAAGAATTGCATAATCAACCATTCGATAGGCACCTTTTATATTGAACCTAGTAGCAAAAAGCTCATAGGAAAATATCACAAAACCCTTAGGGCATACCTCACATGGTACCCCATTTTGGGCAAGACATCAAGAGAAACAAAATCCTTGCTACCACCATCATCTCCTCGATCCTTCTTGCATTTATCTTGCTGCTCTCCAAAGATAATATCATCCATCAAATCATCATCAAAGATAGGACCCTCATAAAAGATGGGATCACTATTAAAGATAGGATCATCATCTCCATCAGTGGGTTCCTACATTGGATCACCAATGAAATCACATCAATCATTAAGGATTTGGGGAAGAAAGTCCCTTCCCAATTAATGGTCTTTGGCTCATAAACATAGCTTGCCAATGGAATGCTCCTCTTGTTCGACCAGGGCTATTCAAAAGGTGAAACTCTTCCATATATTCATCCATTAACCTATCTCCTTGGCGCAACACATGCATCTTTCAATATAAAGACTGTAGATAATTTTCATAGAAATATTTTTCTTTCATCTTTTTCCTCATCTCCCACCACATAATTTCAGATTTTCCTGTTCTTTCTTGCCTTGCTCTCAGTTGTCCCTATCATACCAAAGACTTTTCTTCAATTTAATGGTAATAATTTTGACATTCTTATTGTCTAGCACATCCTTGAATCAAAGACTCTCTCCACTGTGTTTAACCAATCTAAAAAGTCGTCAGGCTGCGAATTTCCTTCAAAATCAAGAATGTCTACGTTTAGATATATGGATTTTGAGTGCCGCCTATACGTCCTATAAATTTCTCTTCACTCAACTCATCCTATGGAGCATGATTGTGAAAGGGTTGTACTCAACATCGCCTTTGGACAAACAAAACTTCATGTCACCCAGGATTGATGCCTCCAAGCTGGCTTGTTAGTTCTTGAACTTTCCAACTCATATCCGACATCTCTTGATCCCACTAATCATGAGGTGGATCTATATAAATTCCCTTGCCTCAACCTCTTCTTGCTACTATAGGTTTACCGAAATCACAAACTCTAGGCAGAGAATCAACAAAACCTAGCTGAAACCACCAAGTTCTAAGCTGATTTGGCAAAACGTGGCCTAAAATCAGTAAAACCTAGATTTGGCTATAGATTACCAGCTTTGTTGTTAAAGAACCTAGTTTCCAATACCAATTTAATGCACGAAATAGAGAAAAGAGGCAAAAACAGTTCAGTAAACCATCAAAACTTGCTAGATTAGTTATTGCTCACACCCTATTTTTATTGTTCACACCATAGTTACCGGGAGACCCCCAACAGAGTGACAATCCCGCTCTGTAATCCAGCTTCGATGTTCCATAACTGGGATCTCGATCGGAACCTGATTTCTTTATTTTGGGATCTCGCTCCCATTTATTGGGTACTTGATCCTATGAACAAAGGATCTCGATCCCAACATCACACGGTGCACGTTCCTGAAGATTGTAGATTTCATTCCCGAATAAATAAGATCCTCGATCCCCACATTTTAAGAGCGCAATCCCTGAGTTCACGAAAGTCCATCCTATATTTCAAAGACAATAAAATTTTCCTAGTTTTGAATAAAACTATTTTACCAATTTATAACTTCCCAAAAAACCTTCTTAAATAAATTTAACTTTCATAATAAAATACGTATATTTTAAGCAAATATTTCATGCAGTATTTACAACCCAAAATGACAATAATGTATTTCCCAAATTTCTTCTAGATGTAGCCAAATAGTAGCAATACATTCCTAGGTTGCATCCAAACGCTACCCAAACAACAACATTTCATTTTCAAGTAATATATTACACCAGTAATGTATTACGGTAGTAATTTACTTCATATACAGTTAACAATTTAAAAAAAAAAAAAAAATTCACAGATAATATATTTCCAAGTACCCAAACGGCTAACGTGACGCCCATATGCGTATCATGACTACTAGCATTAACCGTTTCAAAAATATAATTGTATAAAGCATTGAAAGAATTTATTTCATACATGATTAATGGAATTTAATTAATCAATGGACATCTTGGGTTGGTCGTGCATGGATCTAGCCCTATGGGCCATTGGTACATAGGACAAGGAGATCTAGAATAAACCAGAATGAGATCCTGTTTACATGGGAACGGACTGCAATGCTTAGAGGGAACAAAACTCCATGTGTAATGGGGTTGGGAACTTGATACAAGTGGAGTTCTGTGATGGGAGTGCAGACCAATCATGCAAGGAACGCAATCCATCCTTGAAAGGAGTTCGATCCTTTCCAAATAGGAACGCTATCAACTTCAAATGGGATCTAGTTCCTATTTTGGATGGAAGCACAATCCTATTGCATAAGGAAACACGATCCCATTGTGTATGGACCACGTCCCCACTAAGTAAGGATCCATATCCCATTGTGTTGGGAACGCGCTCATATGGGAACTCATTTCGCTACTTTTACCGTCATTGGAACTCACTCCGTGAGAGCCGGAGCTTTGAGAAGCCATCGATCTTTTATAATGCTCCCACTCCCAAGCCCAGAGCCGTTTCCACTCCGGCTCCTGATAATTATGGTTCACACCCCAAAAGTGTTGGAAACGCTAACACCCCAGGCTCTTTTATTACATTCTAATAAAAACTAAGGCATTATAAAAATATCTCACAAGTCCCTTCAAAACTCTGCCTTCCCCTCTTGGATCTCCATGCGACCCTGAGATGCGGATCATCACAAGGGGGTCATCAAAGGATGGATTGATTGGGTCAAAAGGCTCATGAGAACTATATTGAATAGTCAAAGGATTGTTCAGTGCCCAATTATTATATTTTTCATGGTTTTCTAAAAATTTTAATTTATTGCCTGCATTAGAGGTGATGCACCCATATTGGGACCGGATCGAGCTACATCATGGCATCGGACCCATTGCATCGGGTATGCATCCCCCAATTTAGAACACTTTGTGAAACATAGGCAGGTGAACATATGAGAGAGAGAGAGAGAACGAGCTTAGCATTCTGTCTAATATCTCGCAATTCCATGATATACATAAAGATTCAATTGGTTGGCTGAAAGAAATGGAGAATTTGTTTCAATGGAATGAATAGCAAAGAATATGCAAAATCAAACTTGTTGCAACAGGGCTCCATAGGTATGGCACATCTTGGTAGGTGCAGACTCAACAATCCCCAAAGGAAAGAGAAGATTTCAAATGGCTTAAAATAAAAAGAAATTGCCAAACAATTAGAAAATGAGCTTCTAACGATCCTCGAGAAAATGTAGTTACACCCATAGTGTTGAGGGATTTTTTTCCCCCTTTTGAGATAATTGACCATATATATTGTATCCATATTCCATAATATATAAATAGAAATTACATTCATAACACTGGTAACTTTTTTGTAATCAGTAAGCTTTGAGGTAGATTGAAATTTCTTTTCTAATGTCAACAAGCTTTCATTAATCAAAAATTGTGTATACAAGTAAAGGAGGTAGACACATTGGAGTTTAACACCATAGAACTCGTGTATGTATTGATATAAATGTGGAAAAGCTCAATTGAATTGCTCACCTAAGCCTCAAAAATGTTTACCAGTAATGCATTTCCCATGTTCCCCCTTTTGCCAATGAATCCTTCAACGCATTGAACTCCCTCCATACGTGCTGGTATACAACACTAGCATTACGATTTTTTTAAACAAGTGGCATTATTTATACTTCTACACTCGCACTACTTATCTGATCAAATATCTCAACAAAAATGTTATGTAAGCGCTATGGATGTCCCTCTTTTTGCTGATCCATGCCATCATTGTAGCTGGATCTCTGTGTACAATCAAAGGCTCCAACTTTGGTTCAGATATCTAAGCCCAATTAGCAAGGCCAGAGCTAGGGAGATTGAATATTCTCTTAGGCAATCCAGATAAGACCTAGCTGGGGTATGTTACGGAAGAATAGAAAGAATAATTTTACTTTAAATGTCTGATTCAAACATTCATTCAGGATAAGTCTCTATTTTCTGAGTTTTTCCAAATTTGATGGTAGAGGAGGAAGAATCTTAGTTTATAATGGGGTTAGGTTTTCTGTGTTAAAGAACAACTTGTGTCTTAAAAATATAAAAATATTGCTTCGGAGTGGGCGCCTTGCAGGCACAGAGAGAATGCTCAATCTCCCAAACACATTTTCGTCCACTTTATCTTTTTGACTTCCTTTCTGTTGCCACTTGTCTCTGTTTTCCGTTATGCCACAGTCCTACCTATACAACATCATGAGGCCATGGATGTGACATTATTCCTATTTAACCAATGAGTATCTATGAGATAAAATAATTACAAAAACACAGGTATAAATGCCATATTATTATTTTTCTTTTCTTTTTATTGTTGAATATGACATTATCATTACTAAGTTCCATAATTCTATTCAACCCAAAAAAAAAGTTCCATACATTTTAAAAATTTAGACATTTCACCAGTAACTGGTTTCCTCTTCCACACGTCTTTCACAGATCGCAAAAAAAAAGTAAATTCAAAGTATTTTTTTATAACTCTAAAATTCAGTCATTATCCTAACCACAACAACTAAAGAGGGAATAAAAAGATAAGATGATAGCATATGAAGATTTTCCATCCAAAAGCGTTCCTATCCATTAACACCACATCATACCATGCAGATATATAATTCCAAGACATAAAGGAGCAGCACAAACAAACCATGTAAAGTACATGTACATTATTTTTTTCGTTTGAAAAAATCAATATCTTTACATTTCATCACCACTATCATCAAAAACATTAATCCTGATTAACACTAGGCACATACTTCTTATCACTATAATTAAAAGTACTCCCTTGGTATGAAGCTAATGCAACAAGCCATTCCATACCCCATATTTTATCAAGCAAATAATATAATTGCAAGTCCTAAATAAGGATCATTAATTCATTAGAAACAAATTGTATAACACAAGTAAAACCACAATATTTTTTCATTCGAAAAACTCAATATCTTTATATGTCATTATCGTCAGAAGCAACAAAATTAATATTGATAAACACCAGGAACACACCTATTAACATTCTAATATTAAGTGCTCTTTTAGTAATAATCTCATTATCATATTCGATAACAGGCTAATTGAACGAAGCCATTCCAGAAGACAGAAAATGGATAACTAAACCCTAATATACCAAAAACCAACAAAACCCCACAAGAAAACATGAAACTGTTCTAAGTTTCAATTCTAAGCAACAAAAACCAACAAATAAGTCTTATGAAAAGGAACAAAAAGAAAACAAAGGAAACGAAACATAATTCAACCTCCATTGGAAAAAGGAAAAATTAAACCAAACAACACAGACCCTAAAGTTTGGAATTCACGTTACCAGTAAGCCGCCTTGCACCGGGCACATTTCTTTGTCGAGGGTTCTCGACAAACTACACAAAGATTCTCATCCGTTTCCTCTTTCATGTGTTCTCGGTTTCTCGAGGCCCCCAGAGCCCCCTCTTCACCAAAAGATTTCCAAGAAATGAGATATGCAGAAGCTGCGCTCTTAATAACGTGAAGAAACCCTAAACTGACAACCACAAGAGCGATAAAGAATTGCAGGAGGGTGGGTAGATCCACATATACACCTAAGTCAAGCATCTACCCGAGCACCAGTAAGGGTTTCTCATGGATTATCAGAGCAAACAGAATCCAAGCTCATTAAACCCTAAATCCGCATTCTTTCGGAGCATAAACAATGATCACTTCCCTTTGCTGCATAATGGCGTGAGTCAAGCATCCATGCGAGCACTGAGAAGAGATTCTCATGGATTTCGGAGGAAACCTCTCTCTCTTCAAACCCTAATTTCCCTTTCATGTACAGAGAAGATGGTCTTTTCCACTGCAATGAAGCTCTCTCTGTCTCTCTCTGCTCGCTCTCTCTTCTATTGACTTACAGTTTTTCTTGTTAAGGGGGGCCTAAAAAGCTCGGGATTTGCTGAAACGGCCTTCTCAATTTCCTCTTTCGTTTCCCTTCATAAAACTTCAATTTCTTTCGGAAAAATTACTATCTTTTGTCCGCCCAAAGATCTTTTGTCCCCCCAAAGAGGTTAGGAATTTTCCTTTTTATAAATTGGTTTTCTCTATGGTAAAGTTTGTAGATAATCCAGGTTTGTAGATTGGATTATTTACAAAGAGACCATTTATTTCCAGGGTGCGGTTTGTATAGAGCCTAGGCTCTAAATAATCAAATTAGAGCCTACCTTCAAATAGGGTTGAGAAATATGGTTTCAATACTGAAAATCTTTTTACAGCCTTAACATATATTTTCATCTTTATATATAAAGTTTAAAGTTTAAAAAATAGTGTAGATTGAGAGATCCATGAAACTTGAAAATTTAATGTCCAAATATTCCTTACAAAATACAATATTTTACAAACTTGAAATCCATTTTTTTCTCATGTCCATGCTATGTAGAGATGATGAATTGGATGATATTTGAGCATCAAAACAATTACTTCTAGTGAAATTTTTTAGGTAGGCTCGAATTTGATTGTTTAGAGCCTCAGCTCTACATAAACTTTTTCCTTATTTTTATGTATAATACATTGAGGTCACAACCATTGTCCTTTAATTTTTTTAATTTCTAAAATGGGTGGTTGTAAGAGTGATCATTGAGTAGACATAAAGTTAACATAAAATAAAATTATCAAGCTTTGTTACTCATTCCAAACCATTCAATTGTATATATTATACAAGTAAAGCCTACCTCTAAACACTCCCTAAAGATGTAGATTGGGTTTCAAAGATTTAGAAATCTCAGGATAGTATGAAAATCTATGTTCAATTCTAATTATGAAATTTAAGATTAAAAAATATAGAACAAGATAGATCAATAAATACTTAAAATATATTGGAAAATGATTGTCCAGATAATTTGTTACCTAATATACTATTTTTAATACTTAAAATTGGTTTTTTTTTTTTTTGTATTCATATATTTGAAAGTCATTCAATTCGAAGATTTTTCGACTTCGGAACACTTTTCTATTAGACTTTGGAGGACAGTATATCCAAAACCTTTTGTAAACTTCTACCAAAGTAAAAGGCTTGCCTCTTTATTTTTGTGCATATGAACGGCCTCGTTTAGTGTGTTCCCGCTGGAGTGCAGTGTGCATCTACTCCTTACGTTAAAAGGTGGGTGGAATTGTTACGTGTAGTGTGTTCCCGCCAAAGTGCAGTCTACATCTACTCAGGTTAAAAGATGGGACGAAATTGTTACGTGTAGTGGATTCCCAGTTCCCGCGAGAGTGCAGTGTACATATCTACTCCTCAGGATAAAAGATTGGAAGGAATTGTTAAGGGTGATTAAGATTTTTTTTATAAAAAATAA